CTATTTCTGTGCATAAAGCAATATTAATGAGTTCAGGCGCGTGGCAAGAGGCCCTCTTCCATTGAGCCTAACATTGCCTGCACTCTCCTTTCTCAGGCCCGTTCATTTGGCGTGATGTGAAGTCCCCTCGACTCTTCTACGTGACGTAATGAAACGCGTCTAGGAAAGAGTTCTGTGATAAAAACATTTGTACGTAAATGAGAACCCTCTGGGCCAAGGTAAAATTGTTATATTTTTAGTGTTCTCAAGTGGTGAACCAGGGGCACACTGTATTTCATAGACCTCCACGGGCACAAGACCGACCCGGTTACAAATTCAACTCCTCTACAGAGACACATACATGGTGACTGCAACTCTTCCTGTCATGAGGGCTGCTAGCATACGTTTTACATTGTCACAGATGTAAAAAATCCTCCGAGCTTCAAGATATATTCAAATATCCTATTCAGAAATCCACCAAAGTCCTTATAGTAAACTCGCCACTGACTTTGGGCATTTACTTTCATGAGATCTTTCGCGAAACAGTGTTTTCGAAACAGGATGTTTTCTTTTCCGTCTTCAAAAATAAGAGGGCTGAATTTCCTGTTTTATTACACGCGCTAGAAAGAACTAATCTCCATCACTGGATAAAGAAGGAGACTGTGAGTAGATTACATGTTCTGTTAACGTCGGATATCGTCAGCGGGAGATAGTGCCACTGTAAGTTATTAAAGGAACCACAAATTCCCACGTAACATAAGTAAATATCCCACAGCCTACTAGAAACCCGTATATAAAATGAGATCATTCTGTCGCCAGGAGTTAAATTGACTTATGTTTAAAATGAAGAAAATACCACCCAACTACCGAAAATATATATTCAAATTAAATTAGAATGCATTTAATTTTCTGACCTCACTGAACGCAAAGAATTCCAGCCCAAAATTTTTGTTTCAAGAATATCAGATTGACAGATACCAAATTAATAGTCCTGTATGAATATATTGCAACATACCACAGTCAAAGCATTCAGACTGATCGATATTGTTTCAATCATTTATTGTTTATTTTCTTCGTTACAATGTTTTGAGTAGGAAGTAAAGGCATTTTTCGTTATTCCATATGTACAAAAGGAAAATAAATTTCTTTCGTGCTTCAGCCTCATGGTTCAGGATCTGCCTTGTTTCGTACCTTTTTCTTCAATTTGTTACAATTAAGAACAGACTAACAAGGCAAAATGCGATATACTTGTGATGATCATTATGCTTTGATCATCGTATGCGGCTGATACCAATAACAGTTAATCCTGTTACGAGCGTCTCCTCTCTACAGAATTATATTTCGAAGAGCATTCGCCAAAAAATGATTATCTAAAGTTATTCGCCGAAATCTTTGCTCGCTCCAAACCTGGGAGAGTAGGTGCGAATCCCACTCAAGGCATGGATGTCTGTGTGTTGGTGTTGTTCTATATACAGGTAGCGGCCTTGCGACGGGCTGATCCCTCCGTCCAACGAGTCCTACCGGCTGCGTATAGGATCAAGAAACTGAAAATTGGCTTAGGCTCAACAAAAGGCTGCATATCCAAAACAATAATAATAATAATAATAATAATAACCATCATCGAAAGATGCGTCATTATATTTAGTCATTTGTCATCGCTTTATCCCAATCCGACAAACGTCAAGTCATCCTTCATTATTATAGCCATCATCATCCACGTCTTCATCAATATTATCCTCTCATTACCGTGGTTGTCTTCGCCTTCCTCCTAATCCTCTTCATCATCCACTCCTTCTCCTTCTAATCCATTCTCTTTGTCACATCATCATCATCAGTAATCTGTCAGACGACAGGTCCACAGTCTCTTCCAAAACAGTTCCTCCACTTAATGCGATCTAGAGCTTTCTCCTTCAAATAAAAATATCCTCTTCTGTCCCCAAGGTCATCCAGTATCTTCTTACGTCTTCTTCCTCGTCTTCTTGTCACTTCTATCCGCCCCTCTATCTTCGCATACATGGTATATCTGGCCCTGCCAGTAGCTACGCTACCGCTGGTATAGCTCTCAGGGTCCTTGGCATACTCAAACTCCCTCACCATGATAAGGTGAAGACACATATCTGTCACATGACTACTTTTAATCTATCTTAACCTCCTTATCTTCTTCCACATTACTGTCCTTCTCGCGGTTATCCATCATTCCTCACAGCTTTCTTCCTCTTCTACATCCTTGCCATAATCATCATGGCATATCTTCTTGTGCTTATCATACTTCTCACTTCCTTCATCTCAATTGTCCTCCCCACTCTTCTGGTCATCAATGTTCTCCTCCTCATTAGCATCATCCTTATGGTAATCTTTATCATGATTATCATCGATCATCCAATGATCATCTTCCTCCGTGTCTAAATAGCAAACTCCATGGAGTGGAGACATTCTTCGGAAGCCAGCAATTCCCTCTGCTAGTCAAGATATTCGCTGTCTTCTTCTGGAACGCGACGGTTAAAACTCGTAAACTAGAAAATGAGGCGCATCCAGTATGTCGCGGGTTTCGCTAATTAAGCCATGCTGGTTTGTTCCTAGCGCAATGCGAACTCACAGTTCTCTCTCAATTTTACCGGGAGGAGGATGCAGAACGAAATGGAGATCTCTGCAAAAATCTCTTACGGAAATATTCCGGATAGATTACAATGAAGTGGACTATCAAAACGAACTTGTGTATGAGCGCACGGGACTGTGCTCTATGGGATATTAGAGACAGATAATATCGAGTCATGTTGACACCAGATAGTTTAATAATGGCAGAAACTGTTGAAATGAAGGGCTGCAAACGACGTAAAGACACTGTAATTCAATGTTATGTTGTAAAGTTTTGTAGTAATAAAATCATTCATTTCTGTGGCCCCACCCCTCATAGTTTAGTTATAATAAATGTAATATTTATAATAATTATGTACTTTATCAACTGCACTTTATTAAACATTTATTATTTATTTAAAATATAAAGAATATTAATTAATTTTAAAATTTACGACTGCCTTGTTTCTAAATTTTTTAAAGCTGTGGAAAATTTTGGAAGTCAAAATTCATAAAAATTACTTTGGAATCCATTCTACTTAAAATAAGTAAAATAAGTACACAGCTACTGTAATCAATTTACAAAATTTTTCTTTTGTGGAGGAAGGGTATACAAATTCTATTGAAAGCTAATAATAATTTGTAATGAAAGTCCAAGTTATTATATAGAATGTAATGGTCAGTTTTCGAAAATAGTAGCTGAAGTTCATAACTTACCCAGAAAACAGGGAACTTCCAAAATAATAGAACTTGCGCAGAAAACGTCTTCCTCAAAATACTAAGAATACTGAACTTAAGAACATCTGAAATTTTCTGAAAAGGTGGTTGTAAAACTCATGAGAGGTGTGGGAGATATTTAGGAAAGTAAGTGATAATTTTTCCAGTTAACCATTTCGTTAGGGCTTTGCCCGCTCCGAGAAGGCGAGTACCTGTTTACCAGTACTTGGTATTCCCAGAGCTAAGTTTGTGGTTTAAGTACAGCAGATTCTGTCTCTTCTAATTAAGGCACACACAAACAAAGATATTCAGTTATTGTGTTGTTATAGTATATACTGACCATCTGGCACTATAATTTCTTTTTACTTTATTAATAATTTTATTTTAGAAGTGAAATTTTCTTGACACAATTAACAGATTCTATGGGTCTCCCCCATTTTTCCGAATTTTTCCTCTAGTCCCTCAGAAATACGGCACGGCTTCCGTTGAGAGCAACCGGTTAGAAAGACGACTGAATATATTCCAGAGATTGCTCTCCCGGGATGCGACTCCATGTAGCCTTATAGATACTTACTGATGTTTTGGAGGACAGGCTTCTCCATCTTCAGCTCTAAAGAAGGACGCAGAACGTGTCCCCGAAACTTCGGTAGACAGCGACCTGATTGCACGGTGTCACATTTCAGAGGACGGTAGTCTTCAGGGTTACCACTTCGAACATCAGATACACGATAAATGTTTTTACAGAATTGTTAGACTTTAAATAGACAAGTTATACAGTTGTAAACATTGTCGAAGGATTTTATCGGATTTGAAACAAAGGATCTCCTAAGCAAAACCTTCATCGCAACAGGTACAGTACATATCAAAATGTTACAAATGTTATTTTATTTTATGGTCCATTAGATACAGGTATAAGAGACCACCGTTGCAGCTTAACATGATGAAATACCAGTTGAAAAGTCAACTAAAGTAACCCTATTCCTTACACAAATTCCAATTTTATTCTTAGGTATCAAATAACACATTCTAATTATATATTTAACATCTAAGAGTCAACTAGGAAACAAAATCGGCTCCTTAGTAATACATGCATAAGCAAGTTGGCCGTGATTTGTTTAAAGCCTAAGCAAGATTAGTGTCTCGTCAAATATGAACGTAACGCTGGTCAGAATGGCCTCTCGGTCAAAAACACAAACACACGCTAATTCTACAAATCTAGCGATATCAGCATGAATATTAGCTAAGTCCTTCTTGAAAAGTTAAGAGTTGACTAGCTAACGAATAAAGTCCTAACGTAATGGAACACGATGGTTCATTACCGTGTTCACAAGAGTTCGCTTCTGGTCCCTGTCCTGAGCCAGACGTTTTCATGTTGGATTTCAAATTTTCACAGCGGTCACTATAAAGATTATGATCTCACATTTAATAAAGCTGTGTAGTCCTCGGGACAATGTAGCAGACGTTTCGACTGAGTTCCTGTTCCTCACATAAAAATGTGGTTAGAGAAAATGATTGTTTCGGTTAGACTAATGCTCTATAACCCAACAGCACAAAAATATATGGACCGTTTGAAATAAAGCTGGGAAGCATTTCCCATTCGAACTCATATTCCTTCGACCTTTAACGTCAATTTGAATGGTGTATGTACTGTATGTTACAATAATATATTTTCTTTACAGTCTGAAGGGACCTGTTTGTTTCTGACCCCTGATACGGTTTCGATTTTGCAGGAGCTCAGCCCCCTCGAGGTCCGTTTGGAACCATCAGCAGGTGAGATGCTGGAGGCCATGCGGGCCCTGTTACTGGCGACCCACTGGCACTCCTTCACGGTACTGGCCGAAAGCTCGGCTTCTTCCGCTGTCCTGCTGCGTCGCGACCTGGCCTCGATACTGAACACCCCACCGCTCAACCCCACTCTACTGCTCCTGCGATCTGGCGGTGCAGCGCGTCGCTCTATTTTCAGGTAAGTGTAGGTTGATGGCTTTGATCTGTTTCTTAAACTGCAGTTGCGATAAATGTCTCAGTAAAATGACGGTATGATTTTGTTCCTTCCATGAGGCTGTTATGAGAACTCAGTAAAGAAACGGCGAACTTATCTTTGTTTCCTACAATACGGAACTGTGATAAACTCCACTTAAAGCTGAGTCAATCATGAGGTCAACCAATTCCGTTTCATTCATGGTAAAATTGTGACAGCTCAGTCATAAATTGACAAAATGATTTTGTTTCTCACGCTGTACAATTGATAGGGGAATCAGAAATGCAGCAAACTAATTCTGTTTCTTAAGTCAAGGACCCACGACAGCTCAGTAATAAAAGGACGAAATGTCCTATTCCGGACACTGCACAATTCTCATGCCTGAAACAGTAGATTAATTCTCCTTCTTGCATCGTGGAGTCATGACAACTGACGAACTGGTCTGTTTATTACGTTGTGGATTTCTGATGGCTAAGTCAGTAAAGTAATTCTGTTTCTTGTATCGTGGAGTCATGACAGCTCGCTATTAAAGTGGACGAACTAATCTTCTTTCGTACATTGGCGGAGTTCTGATGGTTGAATCAGTAAAATGACGAAAGTATTTCTGGTCCTTACATCGTGGAGTCATGGTTGGTCCATAACAAAGTGACATACAGATATTGTTTATTGCACGGCAGAGTTCTAGTTGCTGAGAGAGTAAAGTGATTAAATAATTTGTTTTTTGCAACTTAAATTAATGACTGTTGAATGACAAGGTCATGAATTTTTCTTGTTCATAACGAAGTAGTGCTGAAAGTTTTAGAGTAGTATGTAATACTTTGAAAGCGGAAGCCAAGACTTGCGGGCGTTCTTCAGAAAGATAACCCTTATAATAACAAACTTTTTGCCTAAAATCTTAAAAGTTTGGCCCTCTGAGATTTTAATGACCATAGGGGCTTTCGTTGTATGCAAACTTTCTTTCTGTTAGGAATTTAAGATCAGAAAATAGACGGAAGTTCTGATAAAGGAGCAATGGGCACAGCATGTTCTGAACCGAATGAGCACTCACAACTTCGACATTTTGTTCACCATATCTAAACAGAGACAGGTGTCTGTTTAATATGCGTCATTCTCAGGGCAGTTGTAATTACAGGCGATGCAACGCCGAATTCTGTACGATGTCGCAGACGTGCGACGTAAAGCGTTCTAACATAATGATCGCAAGAAAAAGCTGTAGTAGTAATATGAGTTTCGATATTTGTTATCCATTCTCAGGGAAATTGTCGAAACAAATGAATGACGATTGCCAATATTTAAATTTCCAAATATTGTGGACAGTAGGACATAGAGATATCTCTTTCACTTCTAGTACACCCATAGATGTGATCTTCCTTATCCCATACGTGTCTCATTCATTTGAAAAATCTTGCGAAATCTTTCGCACGTCATCGGAGATAAATTGTCTTTCTATATGGTCTCGTCGTTCTTTAGTGACTGCACCTAACTTGGTTGTGCTGTTTTCTACTGATTCTCCCAAGTGTATGATCTGAATTGTTACTGTAAACAACTGTCAGGATCAGTCAAATTGGAATAAATTGGCTTTCGCGCTTAATTAAGACACGAAGTCACAATGAGGCCATACAATGGTTAATTCTTAAATTTGTCACGGACATAAATTCAGTAAGCAGAGACGGTTTTATAAATGTTATAACAATGTTATCATACCGGTTGCAGATGTTTTCGGCAGCCACCTTCACTGTTAGATGTTCACTGAACCTCGTTCCAATTTCTAGACCACGGCTGTCGTGCTCTGAAAATTCAATTTCCTTTTTTCTAATTATTTCCTTTTTTCTTCAATCTATATGATATAAGTTTTTCTTGTGACAGATTGGATTCTATTTTTACTGGTGAAATTCGATGTAGTGCAGACTACAGAACATCGGCCACACAAGTCTTCAGCTCATAACAAATTGATTGGCAGTGCCGATCGAAAATTCAGAGGCTCTTTATTATCGTAATTAGTGTCTTTGTCGTTACACTTTCGGCAGAATCAGTATATTTGTTGCATATGAAATACGGAATAAATTAAAATAAGATGAGGAACCGATCTGAATCCTAGATAAATGGCCTACTGGGTTTAAGCGCAGGTGTGATAGTAACTCTAACTGGTGGCCGCGGCATAACTCAAGCGGTTAGTCGCTGGCTTCCCACCGCGGCGGCCCGGGTTCGATCCCGGGTCTGGTTAAGTGGGATTTGTGGTGGAGAAAGTGGCGCTGGGGAGGGTTTTCTCCGAGTACTTCGGTTTCCCCTGCAAATCTTCATTCTACCAAATTCTCCATCATCATAATCACTCGGGGTAGGTACAATTGGCCGATCAGTGGCCGCCGTGCCGAGTGGAACCGATTGGACTCCAACTCCACTAAGCGAATTTTAAAAAAAATGTAACTGGCATAAGTCCCTCAGGCACTAACAGGGGTTATTGTGGTAGGCACTATTTTACCACCTGGTAGTATGCTACCACCCAGCTTACTAGAATCGAGTCAGCGTCAGCGAAGTAAGGAAAAGTGCAACATAACTAGGCTTACTGATGTTTCTAATCGTCTTCCTGCCAGTCTTCTCCAGAGCAGGCGCAATGGAAATTGATCGGAAACATGACATGGTCTTGACACAACGCAGCGTCACTACACGCGCACACGTTGCACTGTATGCATGATACAGTTAGACATGAATCCCACTGAATGCTTCAGTCACATTACCAACATCGACAGCTTTCTCCGACTTTCCCCTGACTTCAGACTTACTCACTTAATTATTCCTCTTATACCTTACTGCATCGAGGTTGCTTTTTCATTTTTAACATTTTTACAGGCCGTAGGACGCCTTGGACGAGTGATCAGCCCGTCGCAAGGCCTCTACCTAAACACAGGACAACACAAACACAGAATAAACGCATACACACACACACACACACAAACATCCATACCTTGTCTGGAATTCGAACACACAATCCCGGTTTCCGAGTGAATGAAGACAGTACATGCCTTAGACCGCTCGGCTACCCAGACTGTCTGCATCAGTCAGTCTGACTGAGTCTAAAACAGCCACATACCTTGGAAATTAATTTTGCAATGACGGAGTTGGCGAACGTCATCAATGCACTCTACCATCCTCCCGTGTGAGTAGTCAGGCAATCAGAAAGTCCTCGGTTCGGCCCCGGAGTTGGGCCCCGCAACCTGCTAGCGTCTCCCCCTCTCAGGTCAGTCCATTATACTGATCATACGATACAATTGCAAACTGTAAAACTTCAAAGCCCCCCCTCCCCGTCATTGTGCTCATTTTTCTTATAACTTGAACCGTAGTGCTCGCCGTGGTGCGATTCGAGGCAATGACCTGTCATGTGGCTGATCGGGTCAGAACTGTCGCAATAAAATCGTTTCTAAAGCACGGAGTTGCCTTTGATCTACATCACTGCTCACTGTCATCCATGGTTCTTCGTTTGTGCCACTCAGGTCCGTCAGTAATGTCTCAGCTAGGCGCTCGAAGTCAGTCCCACGTCAAATTATGTTGGGTATGTGGTGGACAAATCTGCACTGAGGCAGGTTCTCCCAGAGTACGGCTCTTCCTCCCGTCAATTCTCCTTCAACTCTATGTTCAATTTCCCTCATTTATGGTCAAAGGTTGGTACAATGAGCCATTTGTGGTCTAAGTACTAGGGGACACGGGTCACCCCACCCTAAGAACAAAACGTGGATTTTTCTTAGTCACTGATACTGAACCATTAATAATACAATAATTCCTTATTTTTGCTAGCTCTGAGTTTTCCTCGGTGTGAATGAAGCATACGGTGTTCTGCATTGTAACAACGCGCAATTCAAATATGAAATTAAAGATGAAATGAAGGAGCATGTCGAATCCTTTATCAGGGTCGAAGAGTAAACCAAGCATTTAATTAAAAGAAACAAGTAACAAGCTGCTTATTTGCTAGGCTTAAATTATTTTTTTTAAATTCGCTTAGTGGGGGGGGGGTTGTCCTACTGGGTCCACTTGGCACGGCGGCCAGTGATTAGCCTATTGTAGCCTGCCCCGGGTGATTATGATGATGGAGAATTTGGTGAAATGAAGATTGGCAGGGGATACCGAAGTATTGGAAGAAAACCTGCTCCAGCGCCACTTTTTCCACCACAAATCCCACTTGCTCAGACCTGGGATCGAACCCAGGCCGCCGCGTTGGGAAGCCAGCGACTAACCGCTTGAGCTATGGCGCGGCCATTTGCTAGGCTAAATATTTGAACCTGAAGGTTGAGGCGACATGTTCCTCGAAAACGTCGGGCTGCCTCCGAACTACACGGCTCTACAACACAGAATACACTCTTATTCTTAAATTAACGCAACAAAGTGTTTCAATTGATTCTCGCCTGTGGACGTCGCCATGATCCTACCTGTAAACACGTGTCTGAAGGAGTTCGGAGTTTTTCCGGTTTGTGGCCACAGTCAGCAACTGCTAGGCCCACAGCGGCGTCATGCGTCTTCAGCGTGTGGTGCGGCGGTATTTGGTCATGACACTAAAATTCAGTGAAAAAGGAGTCACCGAGCAGGTTCGTGCAGCGATAATGCTCTAGATTTGTATTCAAGATGTGCTTGGTTCGAATCTCAAGCATACCGTCTATACTGAATGATATTATTCGTGATTTTCTCGGCTCCTCAAAGCAAATTCCAGGGAGTATCTTGACTAAACCACGACCACCTTCTTTCAAATATTTACCAGTCCACTGTTCACCAATAATCCGACATCCGATAATTGAGCAATGTGTAGGTTGCTATTAGATGCTGACAAAAGAAGTTTTCCATGTGTTTAACAAATTAAGCACTACGCAGTGAAGACGTTTGGGGGAGTTGATGAATATATCCATGTTTTCTTGACCTTGGCACTAGTTGGAGGTGAGTGGTCAGCTTCATGTCCCGGCCGTTTTACTTCCGGGGAATGAGTTCCGGTACCCACTGGGTAGGAGGCTGGGTGGGCCCCAGACATTGGCGACATAGAGAAGTGAAATGTCTGCCAGCGCCTTAAAACAAATCACAAATAAAAATAATATGAGATTTAGGATTTGGAATGTGAAAACAGCAGCCAATTTATTAAAATGAAATTTGGCCGGATTTAACAGTGTCCGTTATGAACATGGGCCTATATTGCTTCTGCATTGGGCCAACATCGAGAGACGAAGCGAACACAACCAGTGTCAATATTGATCCTTGTATATCTCAAATGCTGGCATTTATTATTGATGCTGAACGGTTAGAATTCTGCTGCTGTATAGAGACTGGTTGCTGTAACAGCGATCCCGCCACCTCGCTAACTCTTGCATGAATGTATTAGCCATGTACTGCATCCTCTCTCTCTCTCTCAGACCGCCTTGTCCGGTCTTCGGCCCACTTTCCTGTGGCGTACCTTGCGAAAGGTTCAATGTCTGCCTCGAAACATGCAGGATGGCGTTTACAGTAAGGTGGTCAGGTTAATGAGGGTGACATGAGTGAGACATGTAGCATGCATTGTGGTTTTGGAAATTGCTCTTAAAATTACCTTCAGGAAACTTAATGTAACGAAAGACCGCGCCATAGCTCAAGCGGTTAGTCGCTAGCTTCCCACCGCTGCAGCCCGGGTTCGATCCCCTGTCTGGTCAAGTGGGATTTGTGGTGGACAAAGTGGCGCTGGTGCGGGTTTTCTCCGAGTACTTCGGTTTCCCCTGCCGAACTTCACTCCACCAATTGCTCCAAAATCCCTCGCCTATCATCTGGGGCTGGTACAATAGGCCAGAATTGGCCTTAGTCCCACCCCACTAGCAATAAAAAAAGGGTATCCCTGTAACAGGCCGTTGAGGCTCATAGGGTTGTTAGACGTTGAAACTCACACATTTTCTAGACAATCGGCTCACAGAGCCGAGCAATAAGAAAATACAAGATGAATCACTTCTTATGGAGGAAACCTTTGCTGCCAAAATTCTGATTACTTTGATATAATTTTAGTCAAAACAGACCCTTGTACGTGATTTTTTTCTAAGAATGAAGAACAACAGAGATTATTATGTAGCGTGGAATGCTTTGTTATTATGAATGGTGAACAGCAATGGGGTATAGAATTAGATAGTCAAGGAGAATTTCTGTGTACTCTTCAAAGATTTGCATTGAAGGTCTGAGGTAAACTGCATGAAACCTCAAACTGGTCGGTCTCAGGGTCAGTATTTGAATCTGAGGGCTGAAAAATACTCGATTTCAACTTTCGGTAAAATTATTTAATATTCATATAATCAGCTATGAATTTTACTTGGCTAAATTCTCAACATACATATTGTCATGCGGGTGTGTATTTTATTTTTGCAGGCGGCTAGCAGACATCTCGCGATCTACAAGAGGTGTAATTCTGCTCATATGTAACTTGGAGACAGCCAAGCAGATCACAACGGAAGCAGAACGTCTCAATATGATGAGTGGCCACTTCGTTTGGCTGTGGATCGACACAGGTGCCTCAGCAATGCTTGCAGCTCAAAGAAACGCCCCGTTCCCTGCCGATGACAGTACCAGAAACGACGCAAACAACAACAACGCGACTATCGACTATCCTACAGCCTTTGAACAACCCATAACACAAATTCCCATAAGAAGCAGATCTCGGTCCTCCTCCAGCAAAAGACGTGAGAGAGAATCAGGTGATAATGGGACCCAGTGGGGCCCTTCATCAGATAACAATAGTAACTTTGTTGAGTTAACATATGCCGCCTCAGGTCCCGAAAAAGCACAGACAGATATCAGAAAGACAAGGAACTCAGTGAAGGAAATATCAGGTTCAGTACAAGACATGTCAACCTCTAGCTTGTTTTCATCAAAAACAAAAAGTGAAAGTAGTCAAATGAAATCACGTCATACTCCTAGTGGTATACTAAGAACTTCTAGTCAGAGAGAGAAGGTAATCAGTGAGCATGATATGAAAAATATCAAAGATACATTCGCAAATGCAGCTTCTAGAGGGATGGGGTTTAAAAATTTGGAGCTAATTTCAGAGTCGGATGATTCGGGTTCACGTTATGTACAAAACTCCTTGAAGGCTAGTGTCGGTGTGCATCTTCTGGGACAGGATAGGATAGGTGACTTGGTAAATTTCAGGGATACTAAACTAAAAAGTGAGTCTGTTCAGAATGTCAGGAGCGCTAGTGATATGTGGGTTTATCAAGAAAAGAAAAATAGTGAAAGTGAACGTTTCAAAGTTAATTTTCCGGGTTTTAATGATGACGGTGGAGATGAGGATGTTGCGGACGCTCTTCCGGTGGGATTATTGGCAATGAGGACAAAACCTATGCGACTGGACCGCCATCTGGTGAAGGGCGCAGTACGTTTGATAGCAGACACTTTATTAGAAGTCCTCTCTAAGTGCATAGACTGGTTGCCTGTCCCACCTTCTTCTAACAACAGCTGCTGGACAACTCCTTCCGGTGCCTTCCAGAACTTCTCCAACATATTTGCAAGGTAAGCTACTGAACTTGAGTCCCACCAACAGTATTCATATTTTAAACGGGAAAAACGAATTAAACAGAGCATGATATGCAGAGGAAAGCTTATAAAAATGTCTTTCTGGAAGAGTCCATGTGACTGTTCTGCCATGTGACTGCAATAAGATATGTATGACACAGACATGATTTTAGTGGAATGACATTGTACGTATATGTTATTAATGAACAGATAAACTTCAAACTAAGTGTACAATAATACCTCATCCCAAGCATGAAAGACAAAAACGTAATGTAAAGACAATAAATACATCCTTTGAAAACGATGCATAATTCAGATATTTGGGAATATTGCTGGCAAATAAAAATTGCATTCCTGGAGAAATTAAAAGCAGATTGAAGTCGGCGAATTCTTCATACCGTTTAGTTCAGAACCTCTTGTATTTCTGTCTGCTTAAAAGTGTTAACGTTAGAACGCATAGAACTATAGCTTTGGCTTTATTTTTTTATGGGATTTACACTTGATGTCTCATGTGAAGGGGAGAATATAGATGAAGGTATTTGTGAACAGGATGCTGAAGGAAATATGTGGTGGAAGTAATAGGGAGCTGGAGAAAATCGCATACTGAGGAGCTTTATAATTTCTACTCCTTGCCAAATATTGTCAGGATGAGACGATGAAACAGAGTGAGATTGTCATGTAGCATGCAAGGGGGAAGAGAAATACGTTTAGAAATTTGACAAGAAAATAACAATGCAGATAGCTTCGGAATCCTCAGCGTATATGGGAGGGTAGCACTGAACTGATCTTTAAGGAAATGTGGTTGGAGGGTGTGGACTGATTCCATCTGGTGTAAGATAGAGAAGAGAAGAGAGGGCCTGTGCACTAACTAACTGTATGGAGCTGATCCTTTCTTGAGAAGCAGCCAGTCGCTCAGCTACTCAATAATTTCCAAGCATTTTAAGAAACCCGAAGGTTAATCACCTTGTGCACAAAAGCTCTCCACTGGTCCCTATCGTCAGCCAGATCAGTCTATTCCATACCACCCAACCCTGCCTCTCGATGTCCGTTTTAATATTATCCTTCCACCTATGAACGTTGTTATTAATTTCAGGTTTCATAAAGTGTTGGTAATTTCTTCACAAATTAGGTAACTGTTAGCTTCTAAAGGAGGTCAGCTCTCCGTGGATTTACGTTATGAAGTTATTAGACAAGAATTAAAATTACATTTCGTGGCCTATTTGAAGGTATTTATATCAGCATTCCCCTAAGCAGGCTGAGGAAGCCCACGAATAGCCTCAGTAGAGTGACTGAGTTTCGATCTAAGTAACATTCTAATATAGACCCTAAGTGTAGAGCATTAACGTGGTCGCTGGCGTGCAAAGGTAAAGTTTCCTCTACGCTTAATTAATTAAACACTATACCATGAAAAGTTATGGGGTGACTGGCATTAGAACTCCACCATTCCAAACCCCATCACTGGATTGAATTGAGTAGTCAGTTCCACTCGCCTGCCTCTTCATCCTCAGGAAAGTCCAGTCCAGTTCAGTAAATTGCTGCTGGTCCTCGCCAGCACAGTTCTTGTTTCAACCCCGTCAGAACCCCTGTCTTATTCTTTGTTCTTTCCACAATTTTGCATGTTTTGAAATGGGGCCTCCGCTTCAACGAGAGAAGCGATCTGACTATTAATGGTCACTCCCTCTCTACTGAGGAGTGACTCCGCTGGTCCTCACTCTTACTGATTCACTTACTAACTCACTGACCACACCCTCGGGGAAGCATACCCCGGTACACATTGCATAGAATGCTGATTGAACCCCCAGAATCGATCTGGTCGCTGTGCAGGAGAGAAAAGCAGGGAGCATAACCCCGATTTCTCGGTCGTCTGGGCCGCAGTTTAGTCGCTATAGTTACTGAACCATTCAGACTACATTATTACGACAAATAATTATAGAAATAATTTCTAAATTACGGTAAAATATTGTTTGCTAAAGGCTGGCACAGTTCCGTTGGACCGGAGATAGAAGGGGCTAGTTTCTTGTGGAAAGGCGCCCATACAAATCCTTTCTCGTATTGATTTTCTGTGTAGTCATGTTTTTATTCATATTCACTCTCCAGACGTAGCTTGGACGGATATTATATCTCATGAATGTTATTTTTGCCTGCTTATCCCATCCGCCTCCGTCTCTCTTGCCAATAAATGTGAAGCTAAAGGATCAAGATTGTCAGGCCTGTATTTAGGGTTCTGGAGGCTCAACTAAGTTCATTTAATGATGCCGTCAGTAGTCCAGACTGCAAGGTGTCGAAGAGTAAGAGAAGTATGGCATAAAAATTGGAAAGAAAGTGGACAGAAGCGGTCGTGGCCTGATCTGAGATACTATTCCAGCGTTTCACGGGAGGGGCTAAGAAAATATCAGTGTTCAGATTACGGTCTTCATGAATGTGACATATTAGTTAGGTTAATGTTTCGGAGATGTGTTCTCTTTGAATCTTCAAGGTATAACGTCTATACAGGAGCCATCAATTTCGCTCTAGCGGTAACGCTTTTGACTTGTATTCGAGAGGTACCAGGTTCGTATCTCGACCGAGACACAAATTATTCTAATTGCAAATTTCCGTGGTGTCTCTCAGTCCAACTCTATAAATGCCGGGATATGAATGATAAATCTATCCCTGTAACAGGCCATGGAGGTCCATAGGGTTGTGAGACGTCGAGGATCTCACATTTTCTAGACAATTGATTCACAGATGGCGGTGAGGTTGTCAGCCTTACGTGCCATTTACTATCAGGAAGATTTTTGTACTCTTCTCTAAGTACAGTTAGGTGGCAATGACATGTAACACAAATGGAGGGGAAGAGGAATTCATATAAGATATAGGAAGGAAAGCCAGAAGGAAAGAGACCACTGCGAAGACCATGGCGTAGGTGGGTGAACAATATTAAAATGGACCTTAGAGAGATAGGATGCGATGGTACGGATTGGATTGATCTGGTTCAGGATAAGGACCAGTAGATTGTTCTTTTAAACATGGTAATGAACATTCGGGTTACGTAAATTGCTCATAAGTTCTCGAGTAGCTGCAGAATTGGCGGCTTCTCAAGAATGGCTCAGCCCATGAGTGAAGATTCTTGGTACTCATTTCTGTTAGACGTTGAGCAGCCATAGTGCTTCTGGAAGGATCAGATGAATTGAAAAAGCCAATAACCTCAACGGGAATCGAACTCACGACCTTCCGGCTTGTGACATTACGTAGCGAACGCTTCTTTCCACGTACTTTCCAATTCATTGTTCACTTACCACCATAACGTTCGACATTATACGTTGTGTTCTGAGACACTGTCAGCGTCGTTAAATAACCAAAAATAAATGAAATACAAGAATAATGTCCCAGAAGACCATAGTGTTAAGATTCTTTGAGTCGCATCTAGGATATGAATTCAAACCAAAGATGATCATCAGGGAGAAGAGAACATTTCATAAATAATCATACTTTATCAACACGAGGGAGGCTGCGAGAGAGGCACGCGGTAGCGAAGTTGGTTGAGGCACTATGCTACAAGCCGGAAAATCGAAGGTTCGAGTCCCAATGAGATGGACTTCTCAGTTTACCTAATCCTTCTAGCTTCACTGCGGCTCTGGGATCGACTCAGCCTCTACAGAAATGAGTACAAGGAATCTTCCTGGGGGGGGGGGGGGGGAGCCGGCGTGTAAGACTGAAAACATTACCGCCATCTGTAAGCCGATTGTCTAGGAAATGTGGGAACCTCGACGTCTCACAATCCTATGCGCCTCCACGGCCTGTTACAGGGATAGTTCTACCTTAGGATACTGTGATACTGTGTCCGTACATAGAAAATCGACTTGAAAAAGTCCAACATATTCGTCTACGAAACAATTAAATTCCTAGAAATATGTAACCACTCTCATAATTAATTGGTTATTTGCTTTTCATGCGTACAACAAATCAAAGTACACTGAATTTATGCCACTGTTATATGTTAAAATATCATCTTTCCCAATAACTCACAAATTAATCTTAAAGTAACTGAATTTGCTTGAAGTTTGTTATGAACATCATGCCACCACACGTCGCCCCTCCTTTGTACTTTCTAATTTCCCACGATCAATAATACGAATACAGCCGTCACGCTGAGTTGAGATTGGAGCGACAGAGGTGTGACTGCTAGCGCACTGGCGTAGCAACTTGAAATGTTATGTGATAATAGATTTCCGAAAATGTTCCATTTAAGATAACCTTCGTGCTGAGCAACAATATATCGGTCTTCAGAATTTGTGTTTATTAAACTGAGGTTTAGCGCAATAACTACTGAATTAGGAGGGTACGCGGTAGCGTAGTTGATTGAGGCACTATGTTACAAGCCGGAAGATCGCAGGTTCAAGTCCCGATGAGGTTATTGGATTATTTTAAAATTTACATAATCCCTCCAGCCGCACTATGGCCCTGGGGTCGACTCAGCCTCTAACAGAAATGAGTACCTGGAATAATCTTTGGAGTAAAAGGTGGCCAGTGCCTAGGGCTAACAACCTTGTCGCTATCTATGAGCCGATTATCTAGAAAATGTGAGAACCTCAACATCTCACAATCCTATGGGCCTCCATGACCTGTTACAAGGATACCTTTACTTTTATTTACTTTTTACTAATGAATTACATATAAACCTTTATAATTCTGTATGAAGATAGATCATAAACATTCTCACATTTAAAAATGATGAATATTGTTCATATGTTAACAATTGCAAACATGGATATTCATCTTGACAAACCGAAATTTTGAGGTTATGTCTTGCAAAATTCACGTGGGGCCTAATCTGAATCTGTAAGCCCATGAGTGGAAATTGTGAGCATGGATCCAATAATACAGTTTATATTTATATCGTAGAATTTTTGCTGGCATAACCATAATCATAAACATATAGCAATAATTCTCTGGCCTTATATTCTGTAGTTTCTTATTTCGAATTTCTCCTAGTACATGGAATGTTCTGAGGTTCATCGTGATATATCTCAGTCACTCTGGCAAGTGCAGCAGTAATAGTCATACTTAGATTAGAACACAACCTCTTCCTACCAAATCCATTCCAATTCATTAGTTGTCAATCATTTGACAATTCGAAGTTGAATCGCCTGAGTTAATGATAACATCGTAAAACAAAGAGGAAAACCAAGGAAATTTTATTGTTTGAAGGACAATTTTCGAGAGGACGATATTCAGTCATAACTTAATAAATAATATCTCTGACAACCAGAGATATGCTATAATTACTGAATGATAAAAATCTGATTGCATTATTTTGTATTTTTGGGTTATGACCTCACAAATTGATGACAACACTGTGAGGTAAACTCCTGCTTCAAATTTCATTCAATCATTCATCAATGGCACTACAGCCCTTTGTTGCGCCCTTGCCTCTTCTTCGGTTTCGTAATCTCATTTATACGGTCGGTAGGACTCACTGGACGCGTGATCAGCCCTTCACAAGGTCGCTACCTAAACACAGGACAACACAAACACAGATAAAATGCATGCACAGACATCCATGTCTTCAGTAGAATTCGTACCCACGATCACAGTGTTCGAGCGAGCGAAGACCGAGCGGTCACTGTGATCGGCGCTTCCATCTTCAGGATCTCCCTATTCCTTCCTAATGTTGGTATTAACCAAGAAATTTGTAGGACGTCAAAACCCCTGAAGATATATGTCGGACCATCATCGCCGTGAAAACTCTGTTGATTTTCCTTACTTAAATCTGTTTCCACTGATGATGTCGCTTGCTTTACTATTCCACCATGAAGATGGAAGCAGATGTACACTTCGGGTTTTAATCCCAGAAGGTAGTAGCTTCCATACGCCTCTCCGTTTAAAATTTTACCTGTGCATAAATGTGTCTGTAATTCTTTAAACTTCAAGGCCCGTTTTGGTCTGTACAGAATGTACCGGATGCGTAAACTGTATCGACCACCGCTTTACAGAAGGCTGAGTGACGGGTCACGGCTCTCTACCTTACACCCCGCAATCCCGCGTAATAAATCGAACCTCCGTCACGCTTTCATCTGCCGGACTTAATCTTAAATTATCATTTATATTGCCTTATACACCGCCCACCTTGGCCTCGCGGTCTAAGGCATGAACTAGCTTCGCGGAAGCTAGGATCGTGAGTTTAAATCCCATTCAAAGCACGGATGTCTGTGCGTGCGTTTCTTCTGTGTTTGTGTTGACCTATATGTTGGTAGCGTTCTTGCGACGGGCTGCTTACTCGTCCAAGGAGTCCTATCGTCTACGTAAAAAAAGATTAGTAAACGGTAGAAGAGGCCAGGCGGAGAAGTTCATGGAGGTAGGCCTAGGCCCACTGGGGCTGTAGTGCCAAGAAAAAGAAAAAGAGGCCAGGGCCTAACAAAGGGCTGTAGAGCTATTGGTGAATGAATACAAGAGCTTGTAAATTGCAAGTCTTGAAGAATCAGTAAGTCAGTGAAGAGAAGCCTATGGAATGTGACACCGTGTAGTCGGATATATGGCCATTAACGTTTTTAGAATATCTCTCAACTTGAACAGGACTGTACGGCGTCACGTCCCAGAAGATTCATCCACGTAGTAAACTTCGTGACAACCGGAAACCCAATCAGCAAGCTTTTGTCCGATCTGTCAAATTGAATTGGAATTGATCACACCTTCAGTTTAAAAATCCATTTTCTTGTTTCTATTCCAGAAACAATGTCATGATTGAAGATCTTTTCGACTTTTTAAGGTAAATGCTGGATAGGTCTTCGAGGGCAAATGCCCCAGTTCAAAGGTTACCATTAAAGTTTCGTGTTCGAGATGCTTTAGCTTAATTCTGGAACTAGAGGCCGTCTATCGTAACTTACATATCACTTTGCTCCACCCCGGCTTCCTACCACATGCGTTCTAATTCTTCATTCATAAGAGTATTCACATGAAACCTTATATTAGCTGTGTAAGTGAAAAAAGTCAACCTGATTACACAGCTCCATAACCCAGAAGACTATGGTAAACACCTACCAGATCACACGATGTCATGAGCTAGAAGACTATGGTTACGACATACCAGATGAGACGGTGTCATGACTTAGAAGACTATGATAATCACATACCAGATTACACGGTGTCATGACTTAGAAGACTATGGTAACCACATACGAAATTACCAGAAAACCGCAACCGAAATCTTCACCAACTTGAAAACATTCAACCTCTGTGAAGAGAACTATCTTCAGGGTTGCATCGATGTAGTTCTCAGAGAACGTACAGAGGGAGATGACGAGCATTACGCCTACATCTTCTGGTTGCATACCTGGTTTACACTTCACCTCTGATGATGGAGGTAATATGTTCCTCCGAAACGTCGGTTAACACAATATCTACACTGCACCACATTCCAGAACACAACATTCTTCATAGTCACCGCCGTCAAAACATGAAATCTTACATGATATCCATTTATTCTCTTCTTAGGCGAAATAAATTCCGACAAATATACGTAATTAAATCAAAACTTTTCAGTTTTCAGCTTTACACCACAGTGTTCTAAATTAATTCAGCTGGAAGTTCGTAATAACACGAGTATTGGTAGGATCCAGAAACATGTCTCTGTTATGTTGCAGTATGTGTGTTGGTGAAGGATTGTGTGTGTTGCACTTCCTTCATTTCGGAAATACCTTCTTTATTTTAGGAACAAAATTGGCAGAGTGTGTCCTGTTTTGTGTCTCAACTGACATCTCACAGCAGCATTGGTAACTTCACTGAGACACTACAGCTGTTTCGTGGGAGCATCCCATTTCTGAAGCCTTAAAAGGGGGAATCACGCAACCATGGACCTGCATGTCTATTATCTGTGGGCTTAAAAGCAACCAATGACCAATTTGCTTAATTTTTCCATAGTCGAATATTTTTTTTTGCAATTTGCAACATATTTTTACGTGGATTGAAATGTTCTTAAAAGTGAAATTTACTACAGCAGTTTAAGAAATGCTCAGTGTGAAAAGTGACAATTGAAAAAATTTGTCCAATTCAGCCCCAAAATCAGAAAACCGCGCTAGTATTTTTAGTAAAAATGCAGGAAGAAAACAACAGAAATCGTAGCGTGTGTGTATAAACTTATTTACCTGATTATGGCCATAGAATGGGGCACGCGGTAGCATAGTTGGTTTTGGGGCTATGCTACAAGCCGGAAGGTCGCGGATTCCTAGTCCCGATGAGGTCATTGGATTTTTTTTTTTTGAATTGACCTAATCCTTCCGGCCGCGCTATGATCCTGGGGTTCACTCAGCCACTAACAGAAGTGAGTGCCAGGAATTAATTAAATAATTTTCCTGGGGAGTAAAGTGCGGCCGGCACGTAAGGCTGACAACCTTACCGCCATCTTTGAGCCGATTGTCTAGATAATACGGGACCCTCAACGTCTCATAAACCTATGAGCCTTCACGGCCTGTTACAGGGATAGCTTTATATTTTTACTCATGGCCATAGAATACCAAAATAATTTGTAAACAAGTAAAAAGGTATATATTTATTTTGCTTATACAAGAACTGTGATGACGGAAACTGTAATAAATAAATGAAGCAGAGTTTGTTTGTAAAAAATCTGTAGTTTTAATCAATAACCAATCCAAAGGCAGTGTCATTATTTATCCATGGCCAAACATTTTTATGTACATTGCCTTCCATTCTTACGCAGATGACATAGAGCTCTTTTAAAAGCGGTAAATGCAAACAGAAATTCAAGAAATTCTCAGTGTGTGAATGATAGCTGAAGAACCATCACGAAGCAACAGAGCTCAGGTTTCCTTCAAAGTGTTAATTCAGGTGCGAATGCTCTCTGCAATCAAAGCGAGCTACTTTGTGTCAAAACGACGGAGTGACAGAGGGTGTGTTTTTTACAGCGAGCTCCGGACCGCCGTAAGAGACGCGCTGGCGGGAAGGAGAGTGTCTGAAGTCGGTGACAAAGTGGACAGGTCCCTCGTAGCATCATTCGACATTCTAAACCTGGTGCCAGAGAAGAGCGCCACTGATTACGATGGTACCCTGGGTGTTAATGAACCTGAGGGTAAGTTACTTCTTTTGTCTGCACGTTTCGAATCCATTAACGTACAAAGGGGACAAATAAGAGCTGATTTTTTAATTTCGAAACATGATTTTCCTACATGTTCTTTAGACAGGCTTGGAGTCTGACGAAAGTAGCATTGCTTTATCAGAGTTGAAGATACGCGTGACAAGATTCAAGTACAGTATGCGCCAAAAAAGAGCAGTACTGAAACTCACGCACCTCGAACGCGCATGTGCGTTTGTCGACGGGGCATAGCTCCAGCCGCACGTGTTCCCAGTAGTGAAAAGAAAGTTGTGTTGTGCAGTTGTTGCTGGAAATGGGTCTCTCGACGGAGGAAAAAATATTCATAGTTCAGTATTATTTCCGCTCATACGCAAGTGGTGGCCAGACAACTCCCTTCCTTGGTTTTGAGCGGCCAGATGTTATCGTCCAGAAACCGCTACATAGTACACGTATGACGATATAGTGTGCCGTGTCAGCACACGGTATATTAGGCCCCTACTTCATTGAGGATGAGAAAGGCAATGCTCTTACCGTCACCCAAGAACGCTACAGGGATATGAGAAGGTTCTGTCGTGCAAGGGGCCTTCACATGAATAGACAGTGGTATCAACAGGACTGCTTTTCATTTCAGTACTGCATATTTTGGCTCATACTGTAAGATTCAAGCGATTAATTGTTAAGTTTTCAGTTTTTCAGATAGGTTTGTGTTCATCTATATTGTGACGCTATGCATGTGATAATAATAATGCAAAGGAATACACTGATTGACATTTTAAGCATATGATCTTCTGGAATATGAAACTATGTTGTTTCATACACAAATACATATGTTTCAGAGAACCCTACCTACCAGTTCACATGACTTCACACCTAGCAGAATATAACCTTAATATTCGCTGCCGTGAATACCTCGCATCTAATTAATTAATAATTCTATTAGAAGTGTCTGCTCACCACTTCGTTGTAGCTTGTGTAAAACCTGTAGGTCTGACCATTTCGATTCTCCCCTCTGATAGATCGAAAGTGAGATTTACATTTCAGATGATAGCACCTGCAGGTTGGAATTTCCGGTTTCCTTCTGACGATGGGATGGTAGTGAAGAGTAGTAAAATTGATGATGATGACCTACAGAGAGGAACTCAAGGTTAATGTGGAAACCAGACTCTTGTGATGGTCCGGTATCTACCACACACATAAATTCATGATTTCTTCACATATGAGATGAAGAAAAGTCTTTACTGTTGCACCACAAGGTCACAGTTCGCGACTATAGATTGTGTAAAAAATTTAGCTTCAACTAAAATTTTAACTTATTTAATCTTACAATATTTCGGGTTTTGTTGGCCGTGACCAGTGAATTATGTTTATTTATTTGTCGTTTGTTACTTAACGTCGCTCTCAGTAACAAATACGCCATTGAGTGAATGATTGGGTAATGGTAAATTAAAATTATGTAGAAGGAAGCGGTCGTGGCCTAATTTTGAGGCTCAGTCCTAGAATTTGGCTGAAGGGATTCAGGCAAGCAGCTAAAATATGTTTTCTAATGAAACACTTAATTGCGAAAATATCTACATGTAGACAGGACATCATTTTCAACACCTCTTGTGATCTGTGAATTGTAACTACTTGATTCCAAACATAATCGACCGTCAGGCATGCTGATTCATTGGCAAAATTCGCATGCGCCTCGCGGTAAACAGCGCACCGGTCGCCGTGAAACGTAGATCCGTGAACTCATCAAGTGAGTACAAATATTGCCTGTATCTGTTTACAGTAGAATAGCCTCCTATCCACTGGGTAGTGGGGGCTCTTTCCCCAGGGGTAAAGACACGGGACATGAAGCTGACCATCTACTTCTATCCATAGCCGAGGTCAAGAATGATGCGCTATACCTCCACTACCCTATATTTCTTCATGACGTGGCACTTAATTTACTCTTTACTTATACTATATTTTTCACGTGAGCCTAAAATTCGCGCACTCGTTCTGCGAATTTATACCTTCCTGAAAATGAGTCCTAATAAGCTGTAGTTTTGAGAGCTTTCTTCCTTTTAGCTGAGCTGCTGTTAATACTTATTATAATATCGTCTTCGCACTTGTTCTGCATTTCCAGCCCCCACCCCCTCCATCCAACGAGCGCCTCTAACGGAAATCCTTCAGACTAAATCTTTCTGCTCTTCGTGCCTCTGCTTTGGTTCCATCGCACGCCCGTTCGCTTAAGCAAATAGGACAGTCGCCGTTTCCGTGACTCACAGAGGCTTCCACAAAATTTCGTTGAGTGCAAATTCCGAAGCTTTTAAATACCGTGAAAAATCTCGTATACATTGGGACGATGAGTTAAATATCTCGCTCTCTAAGTGTGATGATTAATTTCATGAATTAAACTAAAATATTTTCTATTGGTATAAATAAATTGCTATGCGAAGAAGCTATGATACTCACTTTCCTTTGGATGTATCACTCTGTGTGGTACAGGTAGCAAGAACTGAGTGTTAATTACTAGTGGAGAAAAGCTCGTTGGAGTTCAACGGGTAATCATTGCTTTTATATCTTTATATTTCTCCACACAGCTTCCTTTCCTTTATCCCCTTTGTATCTTTCATTCCTTCCTCCGTTAGAACAGTGATTTAATCTACGTCTTTATTATCCATATGGCAGAGTTTCGAACACCGAGCTGCTGCGGGCGTAAGTTCATAAAAACTACTACTGCTCCAGAATAACATTATATGCATACATGGGCGTGACCTGTTGTCGTGTCCCAGCAGAGCCCCGCAGAGAGACCCATGCTTCAACTTTCTGTTTTCTTCCAGTGGGCGCCAGCTGCAGCATTGCGACTCTGTATCCCTTTCTACGACGTCCTCTACTGTAACTCTGTTCCTTTTTCACACTTTTATTCCTCCAGGATTTTGACTTACACGGCCGTTTTTGTGCCATTGGACTCCTGTAGACGCACTGCGAGCATTAAAGACACAATTTGTTGGCTTCGGGTAATTTCGGATTTTCGTCATTTGTGCCCTTCACTTTTCTTGTGTGAAACTCTTGTCGTATGTTACATTATATTACCGAGCTGGCAGGCGTGGCGGTAACTCTCTATATTCGTACTCCAGAGAGGCTGGGATCGAGTCCTAACCGGGACATCTGCTGTCTTGTCCGAGGTTCTTTCTTGGTTTGCTGAACTCCGCCCCCTCAGAGAAAATACAGAGACAAAGGCACAAACCCTTCTTTCCAGACCCATTCATATCCACCATCTGTCGCTTCCTTCCAAATTCATTTCAAGTCATCTTTCATGATTTACCCAACCATTCAATGCTGCTTAGTCTAGATGTTGACATTGACATAAAACAACTCAAATATAAACAAATCATACCTGTGTTTATCTTAAACCCGAGACAATCCAGCGGTACAGCGACGGGCTACGAGCTACGGGCTACGGACTAGAAGGCCCGAATTTCGGGATTCGATTCGGGAATCTTCTCCATTGCGTTAGGGGCTCACCCAGCACCGTATATACGAGGAGGTACCCAAAGGAAACCGAACTTATTTTTTTAAAACTTATTTATTCAAATTTTAAGCACTAACCTTCAATCCCCTTCCAAGTACTCTCCACTTACACTAATACACTTGTCTAGTCTTTTATTCCATTTTTCAAAACATTGTCTAAATTCATCTTTTGAGATGCTTGACAGCGCCTCCGTCGTTTTTTTCCTTCAACTCAGCAACATCAGCAAAACGCTGAAAAAAAGTTTTGATCATTTCGGGACTCTTCTTTCAAAGCACAGCATGCTTCCACGCGACCTTGTTTTTGTTTACCAGTCAGCAGTCGTGGCACGAATTTCGCAGCCACCCTTTTCATTCTCAAATCTTCTGTCAAAATTCGCTGAACTGATCTCCAAGTCACTCCCGACAGCTCCACAATTTCTTCAATGGTCCGTCGTCGATCTTCCTTGATGATTTCACGAATTTTTTCAACATTTTCATGTGTTCGGGCCATTGCAAAAACGACGATCACACAAAACAGTTGTCACTATAAACTCTGCCGAAACTTGCCCTTACCTTCTGAAGCAACGGTAGTCGGCTTATCGACTCAGGAATGTTAGCTCTATGCGCTCATAGCGGCAAAACGCGGTACTACAAAAGCTCTGCCCACAAAAAAAAAATAGTTCCGTTTCTTTTGGGTACCCCATCGTATAGAATGCCTACTCAGAAGGCCAATATGCCAGGGCGTGAATTTGACCACTCACCTCATGTCATTACTTCATGTTGTGAGTACCTAAAAAGAGAAGTTCCGAAAAGAAATAGAACTTTCTTTCCCACACCATCGTCTTGCGTCTTTATCTTGTTTGGCTACTGTACCTACTTTTAAGGAATGACGTTTCGGGTTTTTGGTGTTTCTATTATTATCTTTCATTGCATACGACTAGATTTTTTCTGGTCGTGCTAGTGAGAACTTGTATAATATCCTGTGCTTGCATATAGACCACGTGATGTCATAAATCCGTTTAGGGAACTCGAAACTTTATTCTTGTCAAATTCAAATAATTTAAGATATCTTGAGTCAGTTTCTGTTTCTTCTTTCTCTCTCTCTCTCTGCCCTTCTTTCTTCCGGTTACGCTCACAGCCTGTTTCTTGAGGAAAAGCAGTCGGACCAGCGTTTCTTGGGTCTTCCTGAAATTTGTTACTCCTTTTGGTATACTACATCTCAAAAACCCTAATAATTCTGTCTTCCTTCATTCTTGATATATGATTAAACCATTCCTCTTGCCTTTTTGAAATCCATTCTCCTATTGGCTGAAATTCGCCCTGTTAATATCCTGGTTGGTAACAAAATCTAATCTTGTTTTTCCCACTCTCAAATTATTTGAACTTGACAAGAATATGTTTCGAGTTCTCTTCCTTGGAGTCTTCATCTCCGTGGTTTCTAATAGTTGTTTGTTTTAGAAGTGTCTGCGCGTGTCTCTGCAGAACATGTAAGTACTGAAGAATGCCGTCTTCTGGGATGTGGTGCCGTATAGATCTCGTGTCAACCGACGTTTAGGAGGAACATATTTTCTCTATCTTTAGGGTAGAAAATCCGCGAACGAGGAACCAGCGTGAGTAGGTGGTTGCAAACTGCAAACTGTAGTCACTTGCTTACGCACGGGACCTGCTTGCTGCCAACAATAAAATGGTATTATTCTCCATTGCTGTAAGGCTATTGCTGGCTTTACTTCCTATTATATGTATAAGGAATTTCTTAAAAAATTCTTCGTTATTTATGTTAGGGTTTTCTCCCTCTAAATAAGCACACATGCGTAAACAAAGACACGCACGGTCCGTTATGTCACACATTTTCGCTGGTCACATATCTTATTCAGTCTCACACAAAACTCAAGAAATATGAAATTTTAACAAGTGTTCCCTCGTGATGTAGCCATGACATGTAGGGGGAGAGATAATCAAGATGTTCAGAAACACGGAGAAGACATGAATACATACTGAATTCTATAAGGGTCAGGACATGGTGACCCAAATAGTAACGAAATGATTTGAAAGGGAAATGGGTGACATCTATCGATCGCAGTGTGCAAGTGGGAACTTCCGTGAGAAAGTGAGCTAAGGCTTGGTTCCGTCAGATAAGGCTTTCCAGGAACTTCTTGCAACCTTAGAAACTTCACTGTGAATTCTGAAGAACATCTTTTCCCCAGTATGTAACGAATTACGTATCCACAAAACTATTTTTTAGCATTCTAAAAGCAAAAAAAAAAAAAAAAAAAAATATGTGAATCCATTACACACACTATTTTACGTCGAGGGTTAAAATGTTTGTGGTACTGAGTTCGTCGGGGCTTCAGTAATGAGCTGCTTCTAAATTACAATTAATTATTTACTATAATTAGCGAATCTATACGTATAAATTTTGTACCTGATATTGTGTCCTTTCACGACCACCTGATTAGTGAGTACAGTCGAGAAACAGCGACTTGCATAGAATACGACAGTTACTTCATACTTCATAAAACATCAGTAGTTAGGTTTGCTGCAGATGTAGAAAGAAATATTGACCAGTTTAGAAAAATGTAATAAATGTTGAATCGAGGCGGAAGAAATAAAATTGTTACGATTGGTACAAGTTTCTAGGAGATTAAATTAAAAGAACCACTCAACAAATAAAAAAGGAATTAAAGATATATTTCCCCAAAACATAAGATAAATAATTCTGTGCACAACTGGAGAAAGCGTTCAGAAATTGTTGGACCAAACCGATTTAAAAAAGGAAAGAACTATCCATAGCTACATGCTCGTAGATTAAGACTGAGATTAAATTCGCAACAGGTTTGTGGGTCTAATCCCAAGAGGTAACCTGTTTCCTCAACTTTGTACATTTCAGGAAATCATGTCTGTGGTTGAAGAAAAGTACCTCTCCACTTACAACAGATTATTCACTTGAAACAAACCGAACGCTGTGTCCATGGTTTTCATACCTACACATTTGCTTGGAAATGTATGAAGACGAAGAACAATACGATGAATGATAATGTGTTTAGTGGCATGTGAACGCCGAAATCCATGATTGCATCATTTATGAGCAGGCCATAATCAAGACTAGGCATACTGGCGAAAAAGTGTGGCATTCTTTAGCAACATAATGTCGCGCGTATTAGTGACTAAAGACAGGGTTAGATTGGTTAATAAATTTATTGTCCGCTTGCAGGTAGTAACTACAAATAACTACAATACTACTGTTGATTTCCACACTACAAATCACTCCCTACTAAGTCTTCTCACGCTACTTTCACTAGTCTTTACTCAGTAACCGCTCTCCACAATGGTTATTCCCCTGCAGTATTTTCACTAGAAGTTTCATGATAATGAACCTTAGCAATGGAGATTCTTCAGCTTTCGCTGCCCGCTGGTTAACATTCCACACTTGAACTCTCAACCGTACTGCAGTCACTCGCTGAACAGAACATGGCCGATCGAGTTATATAGCCTTGGAGCGGATCCATAGAAAACACCACCTGCATCACATATTCTATTGTTGTATGACGTCACCGCGTACGCGTACATTGCGGGCGCTACATAGTAACAGATGTACACGTTACGTATCGTGACGCCTTTTGTGTTGTTGCTCGCGGTCATTACCCAGCAACGGCTAATGTTTACGGAGTCACCTCTTTGCTACAGGTCTGCACGCCATAATAACATTCATAAAGAGAATATTTGGATCTAAATAAAGGAAAGTAACAGGAGGGCGAAAAAATCTTCATAACAAGGAGCCGAGCTTTATAATTCAAATTTCTCTCTTGAAGAAGTGTGTCAGTTCGTCAGGTACGAGCTCCAATGCAGTTAGCAGCCCCAACCGCCTCCTCATCATTGCATTCTCCAGACGCAAAAGTCTATTTTCAGACCCAGGACTTTTGTTGGGAAATAACAGGAAACAGCAGGGCAGTGTTTGCAAATGCATTGGACGAGGAAAAGTGAAGCCCTGTTATGACAAATACGTACATGTCCTACAAACCTTATCTCGGTTAGTGGGCTCAACCAAATCCACTGCTTATTCTGCTGAGCACGGCTGATTCTAAAAATACAAATATACACAATCACTCCTCGCTATATAACCTTTCCCCTTCTACCGCGCATTTCCTTACCCGCAACGCTACTGGGAGAAAACAAGAAAAAGGAGTTGTTTCCGAACATTTCTGATGCGATATATGTTAGAATTCAGAGCCTTTACAAGAGAACGAAGAGGGCAGGCGGGCTTTGTTCGCCAGGTGCTATGTATGTACATATATCATATATATATATATCGTTAAGGAAATTGAGGGGACTTTTTCACCAATGTCTGTTATGTTGTGGTGTCAGTCATTTAGGGGTTTGGTGACCAGCCTGAGCAGGTCATCCTTCCAGAATATGGATTTTAAACCTTTTGACACTACAGAATTGGCGGTTATATTTAATCCGTCTGGGCTAATAGCACCTGGTCCTAGAATACGGAATTGTATATCTATCCTTTTTACATATCTGACAGTCCCTTTTAACTTTGGGAATAATATCTTCAGAAAATGCTACGCTCTTCTATCTGGACTGCTCAATGCACCGACCCAAAAATGTGAGGTTAAACACGTACGTTACAGGAAGAGAGATGTTACGTGGCAGCACGTGCTCTTAACAAGCCTGTCGCAGTTCTTTATTGCAGATGCCGCATACAGCAACTAGCGCGAGGCTCGTGACAGTATATGCAGTATGTACTCGACATGTTCTGCTTGTTACAGGCGACAATGCCGCAGTCTCGTGGAAGTCAGTGGGCGAGGTGACAGGGAGGGCGGTGCGCCTGGATACGATCGTGTGGCCTGGCGGTGAATTGGTGGTGGCGGGTCTATCTGCCCGGGCGAGGAGCGTCTTCCGCATTGTCACTGCCCTGGCACCCCCATTCGTCATGGAGGGTGAGCTTGACGAGGACGGCCAGTGTCTGCGCGGCCTGCCCTGCCACCGGGTGCTCACCTCTGACAAGGACAACCTCACACTCGTCTTCAACGAGATGGAGACCCAAGAGAGGCTGGAGGAAGAGGATGAAGAATTACGTGCGTTAAATACACTCACGCACTCTCATTAAGTGGTTAAGGCGAAGTTCCTTATGTGTGTCTTGTAGGGCAAAATTTGTCTGGGTAGGGAATGGTTACCAGTATTCTTACCGGCAGCTTTGTGTAGTCACAGCGGATTCTGGGCGCCCACAAGAATTTCACTGCCTTCAATACCTCGATTGTTCGCTCGTTATATAAAAGCACATGGAGATTCCCTCTCTATGGCCCAAATCTCTGTATACTTCCCATAATTTATAAACACTTAGAATTTGTCTATGTTCCGATATAAGTTATTGTAACATCCTTTTGCGACGGGCTGAATCCCCGCCCAAGAAATCCTACCAACTGTGTATAGGATACAGAAACTGAAAAAGGGGCCGAGATCAAACAAAGGGCTGTAGAGCCACAACAAAACGAACCCAGAAAAGCGACTGAGTACTGATAGAAACTCAGACAGGAAAGCAGCTACACCGCTAGTTCTGAACCAGATATAAGAGACTGTATCAGTTCCGAGACAACCCTCTGCCTTCTCCTTTTCGTCTAATCCAAATTCTGTTTCTGAAGTATTTTTAAGTAACACTCAGTAATAATATCTCTTGCATAACATTGGTAGCTGATTATGTGTCGCTAAATAACTTATTACTTAATATCTACATCACAGGAATTAAGGAGTGGAATATCTAATGTTATCTTCAATATCTTACCTGTCAATTTTATCATCAGTTTCTTTGTCAGCCCAATTTTATCAGACAGCCTGTGTGTCCACCAGTTCTAAATTTGTGATAGTCACAAGTACATATCTTATGATGCTGAAATATGGCTGGGAAAAACAGCTAAAGTAGTTTACCACAGCAATCAACTTACAGAAGTTCCTTTTATAAAAGTTGAGGCCCATCTGAGCTCCGAACTCAAAGCAAAGTTTGTATACCAACTTCGTCTCTATACTCGCAAGTTCTATGTTTGCTTCGCACTTGGGTGACCCTGGATTAAACCCTGAAATCAATACAACTAGTAGGGGACCACAAGTTTTCCCGCCTTGCTCCAATAATTCCTCTGGTACACAGTACATGTCTGATAATGGAAAGTTAATACATGGTACTACAAGGATTCCTGATAACAACCAAATGCACTTCCCCTAATATCTCTGGATTAGAATACAACTTAAAGTTGATACAACTGATATTGCATGAATAAAAAGGGCAAGGCATAGCCAAACTCACAACAGCCGTAGTCATAAGCGGTAATCTGTTTCAGAGCTACCCTCCTCCTAAGATATGTGTCTTAGGGGAATTAGGCATTCCCTTCGAGTAGTTAACTAATTCCATGAATTACAGTGTTTCTCGAGGAAGCAATAGGCGACCAGCTAGTCAAGAAGTTGCTGGACTTTTGTCCGGCAACAGAGATCCCCAGATCTCTATTCACAGGAACCCGCCACTGAACCATATCTTGAAACAGAGCACTCCATTTAGCAGATCATATTTCTTTAAAATCCATTTATTATAATTCTGAGACCTCTTCGGTAAAGTAATTTTTCTGAGCAAGTGGGCAGAACAGAAGTGCTCTGTCTGTGTATTTTGGAATATTTCGTTTCTACGTGTAATCTCTGTCAAGCTACCGGCTATCCTGCCTGAGGTTTTCTTTGGACTCTCCCAGTTCATATAAATATTATATTTCTGAACATTATTCATCATGTTTTTATCTAAAACACCGTCTTGTTTATATTTAAAAACACAGAATTTCGGAGACTGGATTTTGTCACCGTCTTCAGGTAAAACCTTCTGAGTTGGACCCAATCGAAAAAGCTAAGTCCCTATCTCCGGACCGGAGATAGGGACTGTGTTTTAGATATAAAGAGGACGATGGATAATTTCCAGAAACTAAATATTTTTGAAAATGTAACATCATCACAGACTTTTGGATCATATGTTCTAGTTAAGTTCGAGATAATATTATCAAGTGTAGGGGTGTATTCTTGAAGAAAATTAACGGGTTCTATTTCGGATGATTGGATTTATTGGCACTTCGGTTACAATCTTTCTTCATTACAATTAATACAGCGCTATCGCTGTTTTACATAATTTACAGTTCACCACTGCACACGCACGAGGATTCTCAGTTTCCACTAGTCGTCTCCTCGCAACGGATCTCAACACAGAAACTAGCTTTTCAGATCATTATGAAGTCGTCTTGTCATTTCTTGTTCAGTCATCCTGGAATCTCGGAACTCAACTAAAAACTCTTCTGGACTCTCTTAGCTGCAAGCGGGCTCGTGTTATATAGCCGATGCACGGACACCGCTGAAGACAAAGTTCTACCGTTGCGTAACGCAGACCACACGCCATGTTACCATTAACAAATCTAAACATCATACTCATTCCTTGACAAAATGTAGTTCAGAGGTGCTACAGATATTCATAGTGTCACTCCTCAGATTTTAGTCTTAATCATCTATATTTATAGGCCTTTGCTCTTTTTGTGCTTTTTTTGTTTTGTCTCAGATAAAGCAAAGCCTCTATTTTGAGTTCACTATTTTTCCTTTCCAGTTCTCTCCCCTCGGATTGTGCCTCGCTCTATTTCCACGCGAGCACGCATGCGTATGCACACACACACACACACACACACACATAAATTAACATAAATAGCATTCCTAAGCAGTGGCGGCTCGTAGCTAAAATTAGTGGGGGTGCTGCTCCAGAAAATTTGTAGCCTTTGTACAAGGCATGTATAAAAGGAAGCAAATATGTATAAAAAGAAAATTTATTCAAAAATTTGATAAAATCCTAAAAGAACAAAATCAAACATTTTTTACTTACTTTAACCTAAATTGTTACAGTTCAAGCTTAAACTATTCATTTAAAAATGAAATCCATTCTTTTTAACCTTTATATTATGCTCATTGATTGAAAGTCTGTATGCCTCACTAAGTTTCTCCTTAATACTTAAGGTTCCTAAAAGTGACAGTGAAGCTACATTATCAACGTGCTTCTTTGACTTCTCATGCTTTTCAGTTTTTTCTTTCATTGTGTTTATATTTCTAAAACCATCTTTTGTCCACGTTACATCACCCCCAAACAGCAAACACGGGAAGCAAAACAGTGCATTTTTTACTTCACAGCCATTTGTACCATTCAGAATTAAAGCTACGAATATATTTCTTGTTCTTGCTTATGCCTGGCTGAGATATTAGAATATCAGGTGTTAAACGACCTCTTTTCTTAACTGCAACTTTCTCATGGAGAGACAGTTGTGAAAACTTAAGCTGTTGAAGTTCACTTACAGTCACAGAACTTATTTCTCGGGGATGTAAGGCAACGGTTAAAGTTTTCTGTTAAATAAAAGAACCGAAAAAAATGAATCAAATAGAATAGCTGGAAGCAGGATAACAATCTAATTCTACAATTAACTCATAGTTTTTAAGCACAACACACGCGGAGTAAAAAAAACTACCTTCCACCAGCACGCCAGGGTCGGCACCGGTCGGCACTGTCGTTCCTGCAGTGCTCCCTCTCCCTTGCAGCCTCGCGTGTAGCTTCATATGTGCGCATGCGCACAGTCAACGAACACCTCGCCGCTGGAACTGTGAAACTCACAATTCCATACAAAGATTTGACTACTGACATTAAGCTTAAGGATTATATATTGTATTGTACAAGTATAAAGAAAGAATTAAAGAAAAAAGGACTCATTATATAAATGTTATCGATAATACCAAGTGGAAATTGGGGGTGCTGCAGTTCGCAGTGCCCCTGTTCCTAAGTTTCTTTAACTATTCAGTCAGCCAGAAAGTGAGTTGGCGCTAGTAGTCGGACGCCTACTCTGGTCGAAAGGGAAGCACCGTTTCAAAACACAAAAGTGGTCCTGGAACGAACAAAAATATTGTCATGGGTCCCGACAAGACTCGAAACCAAGAATAACTTTATTGGCGAAGGCTAGCAGCCAATTGCTGCACTCCACTTAACAATTTACTTGCAATGGCTGGTATTCCTGCTTCTTACTCGACTGTCCTAATTTCGGTCGCCTCTTAAATATCCCTGCCGGTCACAGTGGCCCCTCGGTCTAAGGCATGAACCGTTCCCGCTCGTTCGAACTGGGATCGTGGGTTCAAATCCAACTTAAGGTACGGATGCCTGTGTGCGATTGTTCTGTTTGTGTTGTTCTGTTTGTAGTTATCGGCCTTTCGACTAGCCGATCCCCCATCCAAGAAGTACTAACGGCTGTATATGATTAAGAAATTAAAAAAGCGGTCAAGATCCAACAAAAAGAACTGTAGAACTATATATAGATAGATGGATAGGTAGGTAGGTAGGTAGGTATATAGGTAGAATGTCTCTTAGGACGATTTCTATTTGTTCCCTTCTCTTCCTGTTAACAAATTCTGGGACAGCATTTTCATTGTTATATACCTACAAATACCGGTAAAGTAAAACTTACTGTTGGCCTACTTGAAATATATCATAAATAATATTTAATTTTAATTTTTCCAGCTTTGACGGATGAGGAGTCGATGCTGAATATTTTAACTGTGAAGAAGGAGCCGAAGACCGTCTCACACGATACAGAATTCCAACATCACAGTCAGAACTCCGAGGATGTGAGACGTCGACCTTTGGCTTCATCTTCCTCGGCATTCGAACTGCCAAATAGTCAGCAGCGATACAAATACCGGACCAGTTGTTGTTATGGATTAGCTATGGATTTATTAGAAAACATTGCTCAAGAACTGGAATTCGATTTTCACCTGTACATCGTAGCAGATGGACTGTTTGGGACTAGAACGCGTGATGTCCAACCACAAGTTCAGTCAAGATCCAAGAACACAGTAGCGGAACCGGATGACACCAAGTGGAACGGTATTGTTGGTGACTTAGTGTCTGGTGCAGCTCACATGTCATTCGCAGCATTGAGCGTATCAAGTGCTAGGTCAGAGGTTATAGACTTCTCAGCTCCATATTTCTACAGTGGAGTAAGTTTTCTTGCTGCTCCAACCCAAAAGAGTGAAATACCCTTACTAGCGTTTCTCTTACCATTTAGCCCAGAACTATGGATCGCCATCTTCACATCACTGAACATAACTGCCATGGCTGTAGCTGTGTATGAATGGCTGAGTCCTTTCGGGTTGAACCCCTGGGGTAGACAAAGGAGCAAGAACTTCAGCATTGCATCCGCACTGTGGGTTATGTGGGGACTGCTGTGTGGTCACTTGGTAGCATTCAAGGCTCCCAAGTCTTGGCCAAACAAATTTCTTATCAACGTATGGGGAGGCTTCTCTGTTATCTTTGTAGCGAGTTACACAGCCAACATAGCAGCCCTCATAGCTGGACTCTTCTTCCACAATGACGTCAGCAATTACCACGACCGAAGCGTAAGTACATGTTGAGTTGATATAATTTACTTGTAAATGTCCAGATGAAGTCCAGAGGTAGTGTAGTAGTAATCTTGGCTGAATTGTGGCAGGCTATCGTAAACCTCGTATAATTAACCACCTGCCATAATTAGCCGCAACTTTACAAAACCGGCACAATCATTTTAATATAAATATGGCGACGCCTCTTCATCATTTCCATTTGCCTGTCTTGGTTCTTGTCAATTTTCTTGCGTTTCATTCTTTGCAGATTTATTCTATGTTGGTCACCTATGTTGCCCTTATAGAGAGTGTACCATCTAAATTGGCAACCCAAATTGCAGTCATACTCATATTCTTACAGGTGACATCAATATAACAGAAAAACTTAATTTTATGTTTGTTTTATTGCTTACCTATGGGAACTTACGTAACAGCTTTACAGCAGGAGAAGAATACCTTCATGAAGAGAAGCATTCGCCAGTTTCAGTTCTTTTGTGAGAAGTTGCGTTAAGTTGTTACGGGCCATTTCTGACAATAGCCTCTTTCAGTTCTTCCAGGCTTCGAGGATTATTCGAATAGACTCTTTCTGTACCAAACCTTCACAGAATGAAGTAGGGTGATGAGAGGTCTGGAGATCGGGGTGGCCAAAGACCATGTAGGGTAGTGTGGAAACCAAAAATATCTTAATAAAGAGATTCTCTTGCTCAGTGATCACTTTTCAGAGACAACCTAGTTTGTTGCGACAATCTTCTCAAAATTTCCGTGGTGATCGTGTTAGGATTTCTTCAATGTCGCAAAAAATACCAGTCGTAAACATTCTTCGAGGCCGGACATGCTTCTTATCATAAGCAGTTCATGTGCTCCGAAATTTTGTTGTCATATTCGGTACTTGGCCTTCATCATATGCATTGTTTCATTCTTCAAGAGCATCAGAAAACAATTTCGATCTTTAGTATTGCTCGAAAATTAATAGAAGATCTGTTCGTGAGTACAGCGTATTCACATCTACTGAACATTTGCGCAGCTGTAACATCAGCCTAGAATGAGGGTTAAAATCGAATGTCACAAAGTTGGCAGAGTCCATTGTCCATGAAGAAAAAATATCATATTTCACTTTTTATGGGATGTTGTTTGTGTTGCTCTTTAAATGATACACTCTGTACTTGCCAACTAACACCTTTTTCTGGTATCTCTTTGTTACAGATCCATAGTTACCAACAATCCACAAAATGGTTAATTTTCATAGCATGAATTTACAGTAGACATTTTGCATTTATTTTGTACCCTTGATGGTATGCCGAAATTCATAATTACAATTATCTGTCATCCAGTTAGCCCAAAACATGAGTTCAGTCTGTGTAAACATCAAACACGAAAGTTAGGATAATTAATAACAGAAATTCAGCTATGTTAAAAATAATGCCTCTCTAGATGCTGACTCGAAATAGATTTAGACACTTGGCTTTTGTTTGCTTTTTAACATCTTAACAAAAGTAATACAATTTAAAACGACTAGAATTTTATTTCTCTAAAAATAAACGACAGCAGAAATTTATACTACAGTCTGATTAAAATAAAGTCCTGCATATTTTCTAAGCGTGATTTCTTCTATATCTCATTGTTATACATGTTCTTTTATTTAACATAAAATCCCATACTTGCATTATTAATCACACGGCATAGCGGGGGAGGAATTTTCTTTGTGTACCAAGAAGTCAAGCAAGCCACAATATTTCTTGCTATGGGCATGCATAAAGCAAGGAAGCACAATTACTTGGAAAGGTTAATTCAGATGTAGATGTAGATATTGTCACGTGTATGATTGACAGCAGACGGGGTTTGCATTGGTAGTTGGATTTATTGTACACTTAGCAGATCGTAACTACACGTAACTACAGCACTATCGCTAATTCTCACACTCTGCAGTTCACTACAGCACACATAAAGATTTTCAGTCTACTGTGTCTTTACCAGCCGTTGTCTGGTAACAGTTTCCAACGGCTGACGTTCCACTTACTCCGGATTTCCAAATTATCCCCGTGCTAAGCTACCAGCTTCTAACAGTAGCAGCTCACAAGGATTGAACGGCAACAGCCCTCTAACTTATTCACTCACCTACTACTCGCTCCACTTCACTCTACTCAAATGCTCTGCACTCACTATTATCCTCCTTATAACATCTAGGTACAGACCGCAAAGAAAACGCCGTTCTTCTGTTGCTGTATCCATTGTTACTTGCGCAGCCATCGGCGCAGACTGCGTAGAAAGCACTACTTTTCAGCAAGTCCATTGGCACATGTTAGGAATCTGTTGCCTAGCAACAGGTGTTGTTTACAGAGTCATTACTTAGCAGCGGGTCTACATGCTAAGTATAGATATAGGTAAAAATAAGCCTCAGATTGGTAATATCGTGAACATTTAATTTTTCCCTTGTACACACGTGTAGTCCAGCTGTTTATACTAGTCACAATCAGTTACCTCCACAGCTACTGTACTGAATGAAAAGCAGGTTTTCCCTCCAGTAGAATTTAATTCGAAATTTCATTAACTCTGTGACTCAAAAGCGTTACACATTGAAACGGGTATGGTGCTTTGTATTTTATTAGAGTTTCTCCTCATGCCTTCGGCTCAGCTGTTCTTTCAGAACAGATGAGATGTACGGGTTGAGGTTATGGTTTCCATAACAGAGACGCATTACTGCGTTGTTTGAGATGTGAAATAGAAACTCATTGTCACTTCCAGCTAACATCCCTATTTCGTGCTGAGTAATAAGAAAGACAATAAAAAAAAAGGCAAAGTTGTCCCTGTGCACTATTGAATATAAGAGATAAATGGAACTGGTTTACAATCATGTCCAAATATTGGTTTGTGATATAATTTGTAATGAAACTTCCGGT